ATTCTAATTCTATTTCAGTGTGGTAGAGACAGGGATAGTGGTGTGGTGTGGTGGTGGTGTTAAGAGCACTGGTAATTCTCTTCACACTCCCTCCTCTCAGCCCCTCTCACCCCTCCCAGCCCCTGCCCCACCCAGCCCCCGCCCCACCCAGCCCCCCCCACCCAGCCCCCGCCCCACCCTGCCCCCGCCCCACCCAGCCCCCGCCCCACCCTGCCCCCGTGATGAAACTGTTATGTGTTGGCGGAAAATAGTTTTATTGGTGTGTTCCGCCCAGGTAGTGTTGGTAATTTAGTCAATATACGAGTTATATTTAGAGTTATTCATTGGGGGGGTTTTATTTCCCGTTTTCTGTCTTATTATTTATAGAAAATGGTCGTTAGTGGTATTAAGTTTAAGGGGATACTACTCAAGATATATTATGTGTTGGGTTTTGTCGAAGGTTTGTTGTGTGCTTTTCCAGATGTCGTGAACGAATTAATTTTAACACTTGGAAGTTTCAGTAATCAATTTTAAAATATATAACACATTAAAAGCCAAATTTAACATATCTGTACTAACTGACAATCAATTTTAACACATAATCACACTCAATAACCAAACTGTACTTGAAAATAATTACTTTTAGCAATATCGATGCATCCGGTAACCAAATTTAACATCTCTTAATTCTTACAGGGACTTAGCGGAGACCCAGCTGGTGTGTGACTGTGGGCTGACGTGGTTGGCACAAGCTGTAGCTACCAAGCGCTTGAGACTCAATAATGCATCCAGGTGCTACCGTCCCCGGGCACTCAATGGCACTCAGATAAGGAAACTCACTCCAGATCAACTCCAGTGTCGTGAGTACAAGTGGCGTAGTTTAGAGTACTAGTGAGTCCTAGATACTATGTACTAAGGAAGCCTTGTGTTAGGTGCTGGGACAAGGATGGATTCTCGGTACCATATGCTAGGTACAAGGGGAAACTGGTGCTAGGGAAATATGGGTCCGAGATCCTCTGTGTTAGGTCCTAGGGGGGGAAAACTGGTGCTAGGTGTTCCCGCTAGGTGCTAGGAGGAGGAGCTAGGCAGGGCAGACAACTAGGGGACAAACATTCACTCCCTCCCAAGTTATTTTTGCCAGGGTAAAGTTTCCTTATTAGCGCGATCAAATTAACTCCCAGGGCTTGTGAGCTACTTAGGGAGAGAGGGGGGGGGGATGGGGAGAGGGGAGAGAGAGAGGGTGGAAGGAGAGAGAAGGTAGAAGAAGAGGAGGAGAAAAGGGAAGAGTACATGGAAAGAAAAAGAGAGAGAGAGAAAGAATGAAGGGGTTAAAGAGAGAGAGAGAGAGACCATGTATAAATATTGACATAAAATTAGGTCCAGTATTTGCCTATAACACTGTGTATACATGTGTTGTGTATGTACAGTATATGTATTTATGTATATATGTGCTTATTAATGAATATGGAATTAGTTATAAATTAAAGTAGTAATATTTTTTGACTAGATGGCCCAAGAATTAGTTATATATTAAGGATATTAGTTAATTTTTGTAGATTACCCCAGAGTTAGTTATTAATTATTATTTTCGTCCAAGAATTAGTTATAAATTAAGGATATTAGTTATTTTTTCCATAGATTATCCTCGAGTTACCTGTTAATTATCATATTTCCCTCTATAGACGGCCCAGGACTATCAGTGGTGGAGCTTGAGCCAGGTCTGGATCAAGTGGTGTTCGCTGGGGACTCCCTCCGTCTGCGGTGTCGAGTCACCAGCGCCGAGGAGGGTCATCAGGTGTGGTGGGCCCGGGGCGACATCCACCTCCTGCCCAGGAAGCCGGCGGCCAACAGCTCGGCCACCGTGACGGGTTACCTCGACCAGCACCACCAGAGGGGAGGAGTTACGCTGAAGAACACTTACATGCCCGATGCTATTGAGAGGTGTGTTAGGGTATGGTATTATAGTGACACCAGGGGTATTATAGTGACACCAGGGGTATTATAGTGACACCAGGGGTATTATAGTGACACCAGGGGTATTATAGTGACACCAGGGGTATTATAGTGACACCAGGGGTATTATAGTGACACCAGGAGTATTATAGTGACACCAGGGTAATAGTATTATAGTGACACCAGGGGTATTATAGTGACACCAGGGGTATTATACTGACACCAGGGGTATTATAGTGACACCAGGGGTATTATAGTGACACCAGGGGTATTATAGTGACACCAGGAGTATTATAGTGACACCAGGGGTATTATAGTGACACCAGGAGTATTATAGTGACACCAGGAGTATTATAGTGACACCAGGGGTATTATATAAGTATGACCAATAAGATAATTAATTAGACTTATCAGATCCAGCATTATATCTTCCCTCCCCCCACAGTATGGTTGAGATCCGTGAGCTGAACGGTACGCACAGCGGTGATTGGTCGTGTCTGGTGCAGGGGGAACAGGGCAACCACACCCGCACCGTTAGTATTTATGTGATTGCCCACGACACCAAGTACTGCCCCTTGAATAGTAAGTGTTTTGCTCTCTCTCTCTCTCTCTCGTTGATAAAATTTCCTTCGTATTTTAATATTTTTTTTATGATGATTGTTGTGTCTTGTTTACTCAGGTCATTTGCAGTGTTATTGTCGTTAACTATTGCCGTCTCCTTTTCAGTGACGAGCAACAACCGAGGTTCGTACGTGTGGCCGAGGACGGTGGCGGGAGTGAAGGTCGAGTTAGGTTGCGCCGGTCTCGTCCCGTCCCACCAACGAGGCCCCAAATTCCTGGCCAAAGCTGCAGCGTCAGTCCCCAGTCTGAGGGTGGCCAAACACACCTGCGGCATCGAGGGCTTTTGGCACGAGCTGGACACCTCGGACTGTCCCTTTGTATCGGAGACGACCAAGATCCTGGAACAGTTCGCCGCCTCCACTAATCTCGTCGACAGTAAGACGAGCCTAGTCGACAGCACCAGGAGTCTGCGGAACTTTACTCGCGACGGGAAAATCCTGCGCGATGCCATGGACGTCGTGTTCCTGGCCAAGACGGTAGAGCAGTACGCTAACCTCCTGAGAACGCTGTCCGGGCCCAAGGAGACGGCGTCTACGCTCATTGACATTATCAGCGCTTCAATGGCGGCTGTAAAAGGTTAGTTAATGGTGCATTATGGGGCGTTCATATAGTCCATAGTTCAACGTACACCCTTGCATCAACAAACGTTCAAATCATTGAACAATCTCAAACACACTGTTGCCAATTCATATGCCTGAATGATTCTTAGTTCCCGCACGTTGAGTTTAATTCTCTCATTCCACAAAGGTGTCGTTCAGTTCATCAATATATAAATACAAACATTTTATAACACCCTGTACATTAGGCTCATCAGACCTTAAGTGTATTACGTCGTTTAGTCCCAGTCATAGGGTTGTTAAGAGAGGGTTGTCAGTAATGGGTAGTTGGTGAGGATTGGCATTCATTGGGCTGACTGTGCAGGATAAAGAACTCTCATACAATGGTTGTGTGACTTTTAATCACGTCGTTTAAGAGTTGATCGTCTCACACGTCACCCCTTCCAGATCTGTTGTACGCGGCGGAGGTTGTGGACGGCGCGTGTCGGCGTCTGTTAAACTGTCTGTGGAACGTGGCGACTTACTTACCCACTCTGAACCGCGCTGCATACCCCCACATTGAGATGCACCAGTTCAGCAGACAGCCGGACGCCTCCTCCTCCTCCGGCCTGACCTGTAACTGGTACAGACGAAGCCTTCACTCCACCGAGAGATATTTCCGCTGTAACACCAACAACTACTCCATGTTGTATAGGTACTGTGTAGTGATGCTTCTGTCGGGGTAATGTTAACTCACCTGCTCTTGCTAACTCTGGGTCTTGCACTATACTTGTTATATAAACCTTTTAGTGGAGTTAGTTTTATTTATTGTTAAACTCTGCTCTTGTTTAATGGGTTTTTCATTATCCCTTTAAGGAGTCGTGTTACAGTTGGGTATTTTAATCTGTTTAACATAACATCAGATGATTATTTAAAGCTAAGAGAAACACCTTAATTGATCAAATCTTTCCTGATTAATTATTATCTATTACAATGGCAAGACCTTAATATTTAAACAGGTATATCGTCAATATTGTTCTCCTTCGGTCGAGTAATTGTTTATATCTCCGCAGCGACGACGAGGTCATCGACGCCCAGATACAAGTACCGTCGAGTTTATTCTCCAGGGAACAGCAGCTCAAGTCCACAAACACGTCGGAGGAGGAGGCCGTCTCGCCGCCACCGACGGTCCAGCTGCAGTTTTTTGTGTACGACACGGCCAACCTCTTCCCCAGGGTGCTCTCCGGGACCTCCGACACCTGGGAGGTCACGTCCCCGGTGATCGGCGCGAGGGTGAGCGACCGGGAGGAGGAGCCTCTGCTGGAGGACAGCGTCTACGTGGCGCTCCGCTCGGCCATCTACAGCCAGAACGTCGTCCCCGTCTGGTGGAAACAGAATGCCGCCGGTAATCGGGGCAACTGGACCGACGAAGGCTGCAAGATCGTCCGTATCTTGGACTCTCTGATAGTCTTCCGCTGTAACAGGTTGGCTCACTTTGGCCTCCTGCAAGACATGGCAGCTCTACAGCGCTCCGACGAAGGAATGCGAGGGGCGGAGTTTAGACCGAGCGCCCCCGGGGTGTACGTGGGCAGCGCGGTGTGTATCCTCTTCTTGATGGCATCTATAGTAACGTGGGCGGCTCACCACCACCGCATCGCCGCCATGAACAAAAACAAACATTCTTTAATGAACACTTGGACAGCTTTACTGTTGCTGGTGACACTGTTCACTGTGGGTGTGTATCAGACAGAGAACCAGCAGCTGTGTCAGGGCATCGGTGTGGCTCTTCACTACCTCACCACCTGTGTCTTGTTGTGGATCATCGTCACGGTCACCAACCTCTACAAGAAAGTCACCAAAGCTCTGCGTCCTCCCGTCCCGGTCGAGGAATCCCCGCCCGACGTCCCTCTGCCGCCCAAGCCGATGCTCAGATTCTACCTGGTCGGATGGGGCATCGCGCTCATACTGTGCGGCATATCGGCGGCCGTCAACCACCAGCAGTACGCGGGATATAGCTACTGTTTTCTGGCGTGGGGGCCCAGCCTGGGGGCATTCTACGCTCCCACCGCTGCCCTCGTCTTTATCCTCTCCACCTTCTTCCTCCTGACGCACTGTATGTTGAAGTCACTCCGGGCCAACTACCCCGAGGTGGCCGGTGCTACGGAGACCACCGAACTGGAACTCTTGGATGCAAACTCCCCCAACTCGGAGAACGTCAACGCCCCGGGGGAGGAGGAACTGAGCATCGCCTCGCGTGACACGGCCGTGAGCATATCCGACGGCCAGCACAGTCCTCTGACACAACTGAGAGCACACGTAGTTACTCTCCTGCTCTTCATACTCACGTGGGCGGCCGCGGCGATCGCCACCGCGGCGCCGTTCGCGTCCGTCATCCCGCACCACACTACAATATTTAGCATCATCTACGCCATCTGTGCCAGTAGTCTGGGCATATTTATATTCGTGTTCTTCTGCGCGAGCCGTAACGACGTGTGGGAAGCGTGGCGGGAGTGTTCGTGCATCGTCAACAGACAGAGAAAAGAAGAGGAAGAAACCCGCTTGACGACTCCAGCCAACAACAGCGGTGCCAATCACATAACGGCGGCCAATAACCAGCCTCGGGGGCCAACGGTGGCACCCAGCACCCACAGCCTCGACTCCTCCCACACTCACCAGACGAACAAGTCGTCGTCCGTCTCTCACAGCATCCTGACCTCCAATAAACCGGAGAGCCTCAACAAGGCCTCCAACAACCTCCAGTTACTGAGCCTCGGCACCATGACCAACGACCTTCACTACGCTCCCGAGATATTTTATAACCCCAAACAGGCGGGAGTCGCCAAGAGGTTCTTCCAGAAGCAGCGGATGAGACAGATGATGAAGCAGAACAACCTGGAGATCAACAGGACTGACAGCGACTGTAACTCAACCGTTTACAAACCAAAGATCACCAAGTCGTTAAACTCCGAGTCTGGCAGATCAAACTTTGACACCTCCTGTCTCGGAGCGTCGAGCAAAGTGAACAACACCAACATTCACGTGGACTCCGTGTACGCTTACATACCGAGCGAGTTCCAGAAGGGCGTCGGGAAGCACGCCAGCAAAGACCCGACTCCCGAGGTACTGTGCGTGTTGGGCCCGAGCATGGACGACTCCAAGATGGCCAGTCTCTATCACTCCATGAGCATCGACAGACCCATAGACATCGACAGAGGATGGGCGACCATACCCCGCAAACCCCGAGCCTTCATGGAGGAGCCGCTGAGCCCCCTGAGACGCGGAGGATCTTTCCCGAGCATCGTGGAAGAGGGACAGTTGACCTCTCAGGCCACCAGTCAGAGTTCTGCCTTGGAGCAGCTGCCTTATGTTCCTCCTGAACCTTTACACCAACAAAGACTCTTTAACTATCCACTGTTGGGACAGTCAACACCCATGAGTCAACAACTAGTGCAGTACCACAACCCCCGGCACCACCACCTGCAGGAGGAAGGACTCGCTCGCAAGAACAGAAATTCTTTTAATTCCGATCAGACCGAAAGATCCGAGGGGACGGGAGCGTTGCGGGGCGCGGATCACTCCCGCACGGCCAGACACCAGAAGTACAGGTCGGGGCGGGAGAGGCCTCGACCGGGAAGAAATAGACGTAAGATATCCAGACCGCGGGAGAGCTGCGCGCACGAAGAAAAGGACGACTGGACGGACGACAACACGTCTCCAATCATCATCAATCACCTGCCGTCCGGAGAACCGGGAGCCGGGTCGTCCGGGTCCGACAAGGAAGGCTCGCCGCGCCGGTTTGTGTCTTATCCTCAGCCGGTCCACGCCATCTCCCCGCCCGACAAGCAGCGCGCCGTTCTCCAGGCAAATCTCAAAGCGCCCAATCCCGCCCTGTCCGCAGAACGGACGGGAGAGTTGCTGTGCGTGGACATGACGTGGCCGCACGTCATGAACTCCATCATCTCGGGAGACAAGACCGGCAGATCCGGATTAGACAAATCAAATTGTCAGTGTCTTCACTCGGCTTATTCCTCCAACCTGGAGGATTCTTCCCACCTGCCCGTAGGGATGTGTTGTGGCGAGGGTCACGACGAGGGCGAGGACTGTGGGGCGTGGGACAGCGAGTGCGGCGACGTGTACTGGTGCGACGGAGGAGGCGAGGAACGCGTCAGCGCGTGCGAGGTCAGCGGGTGCGAGAACTCCAGTCTGTGTGGAGGAGCGTGTGGGGTGCGAGGAGATCTGTGCGGGAGCCAGAGCAGCGAGGGCGGCACCAGCATAGGGGGTGCCAGCGTGGACCCCGCCGTCGGCACGAGTCCCCGGGGCAGCGTCAACATCTCCGACTCTCCTTTCGACTCTCCTCTTCACCGTCTCCATCAAAATACCCCCGACAGCGGTTCGCTGGACTCGGGTCTGCTGGGGTCTCCGGGACGGCCGCCGTACGACGTGGGACTCGCCAACAGCGGCCCCATCCACAGCTCGCCCAAAGAAGAGGACACGTTCCACAAAAATGATCTTCCATTTTGTGAAACGTACGTGCAAGACGCAGAGACGGCGGACGCACGAGGCCGTCTGGACGCCAGGAACATGAACAATAGTGAACCGTGTAAGACCGAGACGAGTGCGGCGGATTCTTCCGGGAATTCCATTTTCTATCACACAAACAGTTCGGTAGAGACCGTTCTGAGAAATGGTGATGGCGTCAACGAGAGCAGTGAGGAGGGGAACGACGCCCCCAAGAGGGACCGCAGAAGAGGGAGCATTGACGGAGAGGAGGACTGCGAGCTGAAACTGGACCTAGACTCTGATGCCAACCCCAAGAGAGAGACTTGTGTCTAGCCCAGCTCCTGGTGGTGGTCTGAGACACACCTCCTGGTGGAGGTCTGAGACACACCTCCTGGTGGAGGTCTGAGACACACCTGATGGAGGTCTGAGACACACCTCCTGGTGGAGGTCTGAGACACACCTCCTGGTGGAGGCCTGAGACACAGGAGGTGTGAGGCCATGTACAGTATTTATATTGTAAAAGTTCCTGTTCGTGGCATTTTCATTCATTTTTCTCTGAATCAACAAAATGTGTTAATGAATTATTAATATTTGTAGGAGTGTATAGAAGTAGAACTCAATTTGTACAGATCAAGATTATTAGTTATATATTTTACTCGATATCTTGTGTTTGGGCTCACAACTAGACATATCAGTCGAGCTGTTTGTGTACAGTATTGGAACCCTCTTACAGTGACGACGATACTGGTAGCTGTTATTGTACATTACTCGAAGCTGTTATTATTTAATGTAGGATAATGAGAGCTGGTTTATGGTCATACAGGCCGGAGCGGTGACTAGGAGACTGTACGCTGGCTCTTGCTGGGTATAAGTCATTTACTGACTGTAGTTTCAGTACACATCTTAGTGGCATCGTTATAACTATGTTTGTACCGTCACTAATGGTCCCGGGTAGACGTCTTCTTACACCTCCAGTCGCTGTCCGAGGATTATCTAACGTACGGGCGTCCGAGTCTCCGTTTCCTCGTTTATTGATATCGACGTATTCGGTATCCGTCGGTTGTTCTTTACGGTGTTCGGGCGTCGTAATCCGATCTTCGCTGCGGCGTTCGTGGACGTAGCTGCCGGCGGAGAGGTCGTGCAGTACTCACACTGAGTACCGCATCAGCCAAAAAGTACATAGAGTAGTTTTCTATCGTAATTTGACTTTTTACGGCTTTAGGTATGCACTGTGTGTGTGTGTGTCATAACGGATCAGTCTGCGTGACTGCTTATCTCGCTTTCTCCGACGTATTGGTCAAACAAATCTCCGAAACATTACAGAAATAATCGTATGAATTTTTACTTCATCTGTAGTACCGTACTTGTTGGTAGTCTCTCCCCCCAAAAAAACCAAGGTTATAAAAGATAGTCGTGGATTATTTTACTTCAACGTGCACGTATTAAATGGGCCAATCTTATTATTTGTTTATAGTCACCCCACGAAAAAACAATACCGGAAGTCACTCGGAAGCGTAGTTATATTTCTGTAGTACGACGTAGATTTCGCCGCCGAGACTTGTCCCCTCATTTAATATCGGTGCTCAAGTCGAGAATGTTCCATCTTGCGGCTCTGATGGGTGGACGACGAGGGCTGTCATCAGGGTAAACATTGCTGGCTTTGTTCCTCTCATTATCTACCGTGTGACTTACACTGAGAAGTAATCTGATACAGTTTCTCTACTGTATAATACCTAGACACTAATCTGATCTACAAATACAATAACCTAAATGCTAATCTGATCTACAAATAACCTGAACTATAATCTCATCTACAAATCACCTTAGACCTAATCTGATCTGTGAATCACCTGAACGTGTATTTATTGGAAAAATCTGATACATTCTGAAAATCTGCACGTGTTAAATCGCCTCATTGGTTAACTTCGGTGTTTACTCCCTTATCTTTATTTTGTTTTGATCGGTAATGTAAATAAACCTAGTCCCGGTACAGTACAACCGCTCCTCTACCTATGATCATTACCCTCACGAACTTTCAAGAGATACGAACGGATCAATTTTGCATTATTTGTTTTGTTTACGAATATTATCCACCTTCCAATATGTCTCGGAAGCGTAAGAGCCGTAAGATATAATGTGCTGTATTTATTAATGAAGTAAAGATATATTGTGTTTCGTTTATTTATTTACAATATGTTCAGTAGGTACAGGGGGGTAAAGTTGGACTCAAGAATAAGCCTCAGGAACGTAACTCATTCGTAAATAGAGGAGCAGCTGTGTTTATTTACAGGATTTAATTATTGTCTTGTGTTAATCCAAATCATAAATGACCTTTAATTAGTTCAAGCACGATAGAACTTAACTCCAGTACTGAACAATATAGTGAGGAATCTCAATAGTGATTTGCTTTTGTGAATGGCTATCCTATGGTAATGATTATCTTAAATTACCCAATTAATTGTAGTAAATATCCAAAATATGTTAATTTGTACTTTATTTAATTGATTTGTTGCAATAATTGTCTCAGTTGATATATAATTCACGAAATAATATAATGTGTCCCGTTGCGATGAATTCAAAACAAGAATTTACCAAGACTGTGGTTGTAGGTAATGGCAGTCGTCCTTATAAACACTAGGACATCGGATTGTATATTTTACTGGGGGTAACTCACATAGTTATAAATTCTTTGGGGGAGAGGGAGGTAAATGACTTCTAGATAGGGAGGAGAGGGAGGTAAATGACTTCTAGATAGGGAGGTGAGGAGAGGGAGGTAGGTAGGTAAATTGACTTCTGGGTAGGGAGGTGAGGGGAGGATAGGGAGGTAAGGGAAGGGTGGTAAAATAACTTCTAGGTAGGGAAGTGAGGGGTGGGTAGGGAGGAATCTCAGAGTAGGAAATCTTAAACTAAAAAATATATAGAAGTCAAATTTAAATGTGAGGCAGGTGATGATGGGATAACGTGACCCCACAGCACTCCAGTAGGTCTTAGTCTTGTGGATCAGCTTCCTCCTACGAGCCGAGACGTAGGAATCTCACGGTGGGTCGTCTGGGGAACCTTTTTACAGTGGCTGATGTATGTAATATTTTGGGAGAGAGTGAGTGAATGACGTGCACTTAAGATGACGTTATGGGATTTGGGATTTGTGTTTTGTAGTATTATATGGGATTTGAGTTTTAGACCAGTTTTTTTGGATTATTGTGACGTTACTGAATTTTTTATTAGTTTTTAGGTATTTTTTTATATAAATTAAATTTCCAACAGGTAATTCTCTTAAATTTTTACAGATAATGAATTTTAAACTATTTTTAGTAATTTTAAACTGATGATTATTATGATTATGTGTGATTTGGATTTGAGAAACTTGAGGTTTGTTTGATTTCTGGAGTGGATAGTAATTGTTTCCACTCGTCTGAGCTGCCAGGAGACAGACGTGTGCTCGATAAGGAAAAGCTATTTCTTGAGACTATTCTGATAACCAGTTTTGTTGCTTCCCGGGGCATCTCAACAAGCTGGAAACTGGAGACATTTTATTTCCATGCCCAGTTTCGTTGCTTCCCGGGGCATCTCAACAAGCTGGAAACTGGAGACATTTTATTTCCATGCCCAGTTTCGTTGCTTCCCGGGGCATCTCAACAAACTGGAGACATTTTATTTCCATGCCCGGTTTCATTGCTTCCCGGGGCATCTCAACAAGCTGGAAACTGGAGACATTTTATTTCCATGCCCAGTTTCGTTGCTTCCCGGGGCATCTCAACAAGCTGGAAACTGGAGACATTTTATTTCCATGCCCAGTTTCGTTGCTTCCCGGGGCATCTCAACAAACTGGAGACATTTTATTTCCATGCCCGGTTTTGTTGCTTCCCGGGGCATCTCGAAACTCAGGGTAAGAAACGGAGGCTTCATTAACTTGTCTCCCAGGTTTGTTGGTGCTCTATACATTGTGAAACATCGTGCAAGAAAATGAAGCCTCGTGATGTGGAAGCCTTAAGTTTTGTTAGTGCCCCGGACGTCTCGAAACATCGTGCAAGAAACTGAAACTAACAGTGAAACCTCAGTATAATGGACTTTCCTCTCTATATAGTTCATTAGATGGAGGTTTCACATCTAACGGACCCTCGATATAATGGACTTTCCTCTCTATATAGTTCATTAGATGGAGGTTTCACTCTACTATACGTAATTTTAGTACGGAAACACCCTGTATGTACATTTTCTACCAGTGAACACAACTCTAGGAAACACATCCTTTATTAGCCATTTTAGTGTTTCCCTCTGATAGGCCCAGGTTAAATTCTCTAGAGGAATCGTCGAGATATTTACTGCGTTTCTTCAGCTTGTCTTCGTTAATTAGCGTTTGTTATGGTAAATTTTTTGTACAAATAGAAATAGTTTGCCAAGTACAGAGCCGAGCTTGTGTAGGTGAGTGAACACAGTGTATGGGGGACACAGGAGTGAAGTGAGAGAAACGATGTAAATGGAAAACAGGAAAAGTGAAGAAGTTAAAGCTTATGATCGTTGATATTACCACAACTTTGGAACCAGTGAAGATATTGAAGTGATTTAAGCTGCAGATTGTATTAGAAATGTAACAGATAACAGTAAAAGAATATTAAGTATTGTTTCAGGCATAGTGTCGCTTGTTCCGCTTCAGTTCTGTGTTTCCTATGTCTACCAATACAGTATTAAGTCTGTGTTGGTGAGATACTATTAGTGAAAAAAAAGTGAATACAATATATATCTTTTTATCAAATTCTTAAAAGCATTTATTAAAAGGTGATGTATTGCCCCAAAGACAAGTGTTATGGCTGATGGTGACAACAGCCGAGTCGCTCTTATCACCACATTTAAAATTAACTGTAAATAAGTGGTAAGTCTGATTTATATAATGTAAATTAAATGTGAATTTTGGCAAAACTTTTCAGTGATCCTTTTTTTTATTAAGTCTTTCTTATTTGGGAATTGTGGTTAGGTTAGGTTATGTACCTCAACACTACACACTTACATCAAAGCATTAGGTCCCTGGTGAGGTGTTAAGTAATGCTACATCTACTTATAAAACTAACAAAGAAATTCCCTATATATACTTAAAAATTACCAGACAAGGAAAAAAGTAAAAAAACAAATCGCTCGGGAAAAAAGTACTTGTAAAAACAGGCAATAATAATAATTTGTCATTAGGAGTAAGTAATGGCAGGAGAGGGAACATGTTCATACCTGTCCCTCGTAACTACTAATTTTCCTTAAGTATATTGAACTGTAGTGACTTGATGGTTACTTAAACACTACATGAACTCAAGAATTAATGATTTATATGAGACTTGTCGTTGATTAAGATGACAATAAGGAAAATACGACTGATAATGACACCTGGACAAGTTTCAACACCTGATAGTATGCTAATGTCTCAATTACAGGTAAGCGAAGAAAAAGTAATATTTTAATTGATATATATATATACTTTAGGGTTGTAATAAGGAGACATAGATGTTTAATAAATAATAATTATGAAAATATTCGTAATGTTCAGTTAAGGAGAAATAAGTTAAAATGTAATTATTAATCAAACTATAACAATAAAGTGTTTTTATTGTCGTAAATACTTAAATAATTATAATTGTATGTTAGATAATCACTGGAAATGGATAAATATGTAAATAATCTTAATATAATCAATACACTACTTGACTCCATTTGCATTTGAGCCTTACAAGTTAATTTCTCATAAATAAAGTTAATAAATATCTATACCTATTATTTATTGTATTATGATTATTATTACTATTATTATTATCTTCATTATCTCAAAATTATGTTAAAATTAATTCTTGTTTTATTGGAGTAATTTTGTCATCTTTATTTTGGGTGTTGTCTGTGTATGTATGTATGTAAGTATTTCTGAGTGTTCATGTACGTATTTCTGAGTGTTCATGTATGTATTTCTGAGTGTTCATGTACGTATTTCTGAGTGTTCATGTACGTATTTCTGAGTGTTCATGTATGTATTTCTGAGTGTTCATGTACGTATTTCTGAGTGTTCATGTATGTATGTGTGCGTCACGTCAACACAGCTCCCGGCAATGTCTCTTTTTAATATTAAATACTTCACATATTTAGCTGAAATAAAAATTAATTGGCCATAATGAATATATAAACATTGTGTTGGACTTCTGATATAATTAGTTATTATAGTATATTAAATTTACGGATCACCTGAAGATTAACACCCCCAGCTTATTTCACCTGAAGATTAACACCCCCAGCTTATTTCACCTGAAGATTAACACCCCCTAGCTTATTTCACCTGAAGATTAACACCCCCAGCTTATTTCACCTTGAAGATTAACACTTCAGCTTATTTCATTTTGAAGATTAACACCCTGCATTATTTACCTGAAGATTAACACCCCCTGTTATATTTCACCTGAAGATTAACACCCCCAGCTTATTTCACCTGAAGATTAACACCCCCAGCTTATTTCACCTGAAGATTAACACCCCCTAGCTTATTTCACCTGAAGATTAACACCCCCAGCTTATTTCACCTTACCTTTGAAATTCTTAAACTAAAAATTCATATAAAACAGTAAAAACACAAACATTTAATTTATAAAAAAAATACGAAAATAATTACTGTATATTCCACCTTTAAACTGGTAAACAAAGAGACGTCTGGCAGCGGGGTGAGCACGTGGCAGGGGGACGAGCTCTGACTGGCTGCCTGCAACAGTTTAGTAAGGCGCCAGCCACCGTGGAGTGAGGGTGTCGCTGTCCAGTACTCGCTAGTGATTTGTTACTTATAATTTCAAGTATAATTACATCTAGTGGGAAGTATTATAGGATAATTTCACCATCAAGAGGAGTATTATAATCGTTCAATTTGTGAGTAAGATTGTATGTTTATTAAGAAAATCAATATAATTCTCGTAAAAATAAAATACTACGATACACTAATTTATTTCAGAATATTTTAAAACTTCAAAATTAAACACATTTAAGTTTAGTTTTAGAAATAAACATAAAGTTTAAATTAGAAAACCTTTAGTGTGATTTGTGTTGTTTCTGTGTTTAGTTAAGTCAGCCAGTTTACTTTGTTTAGCGTCTTGACTTAAGAGGAAAGTTTATCGTACTGTAGTAACCTTTGTTAATTGTCTTAGGTTAGGTTAAGGTAGTTTAGGTTAAGGTGGTTTAGGTTAATGTAGGTTAAGTTAAGGTAGTTTAGGTTAAGGTGGTTTAGGTTAAGGTGGTTTAGGTTAAGGTAGTTTAGGTTAAGGTGGTTAAGGTAAAATAACCTAGGAGGGCTAATCTTCAGGTGATACTAAATTGAACACTACCTGTACCCGCCTCATCTGACTTGACTGGTGGATGTATGGATGATGTGAGTTGAGATAAAGGGTATTGTTTTAATAAGATCACATGAGGATTAACCATCCCCCAGCTTGCTTGACATTAAGATTAATCACCCTAACGCTCATTTGATTTTCCCTGATCAACGTAACTTAATCTAACCTTCTTGTCCTAATTTAATCTGACTTATTGAGGATAGCTGAAGTTAGGAGAGGTTAGGATGACTGGGGTTAGGTTAGGATAGTAGATGATTGATGGCTGGGGTTAGGATAGAAGAGAATGGGACGAGGTTAGGGTAGGATGGGTTAGGATAATTATCAGTCAGGTCACGGAAGGCGGATAGGATGCTTAATAAACTCAGCCAGACTTTAAAAAAAAATCTACCAAAAAATCTCTCACATACGGTTAAAATTGGCGTTAATTAATATTATGAGTAGAATTTCCCGAGCTATTTGACGTTGCCGGGGAGGAGGCGGGTATAGCGTCAGTCCGGTACGATAACATTTCCCTCCAGGTACTCATGAGCAGTGCGGTACGTGGCACCTCCCCCAGGTACTCATGAGCAGTGCGGTGATAACACCCCCTCCCCAGAGTGCTGCGCAGGCAGTGCAGGTACGATAACACCCCCCTCCCAGGTACTCATGAGCAGTGCGGTACATTAACACCCCCAGGTACTCATGAGCAGTGCGGTACGACACCCCCTCCCCAGGTACTCTCGCAGAGCAGTGCGGTACGTGCTTGCCCCCCCAGGTACTCATGAGCAGTGCGGTGCAATAGCACCCTTTCCCCCAGGTACTCATGGTGATGCAGTGCGATGTACCCTTTCCCCAGGTACTCATAGGCAGTGCGGTACGATGCCCCCTCCCCAGGTGCTGCAGGCGAGTGCGGTGCAGTAACACCTCCCTCCCCCTCCCAGGTACTCATGAGCAGTGCGGTGCGATAACACCCCCTCCCTCCCAGGTACTCGCAGGCAGTGCGGTACGATAGCACCTCCTCCCCCTCCCAGGTACTCCTTGAGCAGTACGGTACGATAGCACCCCTCCCCCCTCCAGGTACTCTTGAGCAGTGCGGTGCGATAGCACCCCTCCCCCAGGTACTCATGGCAGTGCGTACGATAACTACCGGTACTATTAGCAAAGCGTTAAGTAAACATTGATCTCTTGTGGATTATATTAACTCATTTTAACACTACGCTTTTATTTTATTTAATCTAGGATGATGATTTAATTTACGTTAGAATTATTATTAACTTATATTTAACCTAAGATGCTCTAACCCAAGCTAACTTAAACCTAAACCAAATCCCACTTAAACCCACCTAATCTAACCTAACCCCATCGTACCCTTACCTAATCTAACCCCAGCTAACCTAACCCATCCACGAAATGAAAACAACATCAAAACACAATTCCTATAACATTTTAAGAATCCAAAACTGCTGGCCCACGATTCCAACCGCATCTCTTGACCTTTACACAGTTATCCGGAAATAGGAGACACACACACACGCACACACACACACACACACGCACACACACACTTTCAAGAATCCGCATCGATCCGGGTTTCCTCGACGAACTCACTTGACCAGAAATCATATCCTTGGCGGGCAGAAATTGTGGTTGGTGGGTGAGGGGGTGGATGAGGGAGGGGGGAGGTGGGTGATGGGTGAGTTAGAGAGGTGGATGAGAGGCCACTTGGATACCTCCCCCCCCCCCACACACACACATACAGCTAGTACCAGAGAGTGTTATTGAAGGCAAGTTATAATCACCATTTGTCAGTATTGTTATTGATGTTATTGTTTACCATCCACCACCAGTCTGTGGAGTTAGTGATTCGTTTGTTGTTTGTGCTTGTTTATAAGTGATATACTCAGGGTGTTTGTTTAGTTACGAAGCTTAAAATTGTCTGTTTGTCTCTGTCTGTCTCTGTCTGTCTATCTGTCTGTCTCTCTGTCTTTTGGAGGACTTTAATTAAAACTTGTATTTCATGTGTAACAATAGGATATTTTTTTACTCTCTCTTTCTGTCTCTCTCTCGTGACTTTAATTAAAACTTGTATTTTAGGTGTAACAATCGGATACTCTCTCTCTCTCTCTCTCTCTCTCTCTCTCTCTGGTGTGTAAAGATATCTCCAGATCATCAACGCTAAAGGTCTCCCTGTCGGCTCTTCCTCTTTCGTATTTGTTCCTCCTCCTTCTACTCTTCCTCTTATCTCCTCATTCCTCTGCTTGCTTCTTTATTTTCTAGTGCTTCCTATAGTAGTACGGTAGTAGTCGTAGTAATAGTAGTAAAAGTATAATCTATTAATCATTTATAACAAACAATTATATTAAAACTATAAACAAACCCCAAACAAATAAATAAAAACAAATGTAAAATAAACATGTGTGTGTGTGTGTGTGTGTGTGTGTGTGTGTGTGTGTGTGTGTGTGTGTGTGTGTTTAATTTCATGTTATTAACCCATCGCCTTATTCATGTTACGTATGAGGTATATATAAATAATTCTATCGTCTGTACTAATATAGTCTAATTTGGTATATGTAATGAATCCTTTAATTG